ATAGCCATATTGGGCTACATAAGAAGAGCGACTGTAAATAGCCTAAGTGATGTGGGGCCAAGAGAAGAGGCAGGCTGTGAGATGCATTCTAGAGCTCTCTGGCTGGGGCTGAGCCTTCATGAGCCTGACACTCTGACTGTGATGTTTGTGCACTTCCCAGCCCCTTCTTTCCCATTAGTTGGACTAAGATGTCAAGAAGGAAGTAGATAAAGCTAGAAATAGGTCTACTGTATCTATCCCTGTCTTGGGCATATGCCCAAAGAACTTTATATCCTACTACAGAGATAACCTGTTCATCCATGTTTGTCACTGTTCTATTTATAGTAGCTAGGAAATAGAAACAGCCTAGATGCCCATTGACTGATAACAGATAAATAATTTCATTATCCATTTAAGAAAAATGAATTTAAAATTCATAGATTAATGAATAGAGATGGAAATAATCATGATGAGGGAGGCATCCTAGACCCAGTAAGACAAATGTCATATGGCTTTTCATCTTCATAAATGTGTGTGTCCTTTGGAATTCCTATTGAGTTTAGGAAGCCAGTAAGGAGCCATGCAAAGGGAAAGTAGATAAATACAATGGCATCAAGAGTAAAGAGGGAGTAATAGAACAGGAAGAGTTAAATGGGGTGGGAATGGGAGGGTAGGGTAAAGGAGAGAATAAGAGAATAGCTAACAGCAAAACCCTTTAAAAACATCATATGGAAATCTACTGTAGAAGCCTCCTAAAATATATCCATACACATATATAAAAGAAGTTATGCTATAATGTGGTAACAACACCCCTACCAGACACTGCAGGCTAACAAATAGAAATCATGGTGCCATAAGCTGATTACCTCTCAGGAGTTTTTGGTTTCCGAGGTCCCATAAACCCCCAAATCTTATAGGCTACTGCTAATGCTCTTGGTTACCCCAGAATGTGACTGTAAGACTCCATTGCTGAAGCTACAGAACATGGAAAAATCAAGCTGTTCCTTGCCTGGCAGCTTTGTCCCTGCTGGATACCCTTCACAGCCCTGGAAGGTGCTATGCACATGGTTAGCAGAGCAAAGTAACCATCCATCCATGAGCCCGACAACCTGAATTTGATTCCTTGTGGTGGAAAGAGAGAGCCAAGTCCAGCAAGTTGTCTTCCGACCTCCGTATGCATGCATATATGCACGCATGCACGTGCACATATGCGCGCGCACACTCATGATAGATAGATAGATAGATAGATAGATAGATAGATAGATAGGAAGAAAATGGTAAAATTGTATTGTATTTCTGGAACAATGACTTAGCAATTAAGAGCACTGGCTACCTTCTAGAGGTCCCAAATTCAATTCCCGCGCCCATATGGTAGCTCACAACCATCTATAACTCCAGTTCTGGGGGACGTGTCACCCTTCTTTGGCCTCTGTGAATACCAGGCAAGTACATACACAGATATTTTTGTAGACAAGTCACAAAATAAAATAATAATTTTTGAAAGAAATTTTAAACTCTACCTGTGATTTCTGATCAGGTCTAACATTTCCAAATGGGTGGGATGGCAAATTGCTTTTCTTCTCTTGTTAATTCCCTGGTTCCTGACCCAGCTCTATTTTTGCTTTAAAATCTTTTTATTTTGTTCCCTCCGTCATTTTAACTTATAAAGCAGAGGTGTAAAGCTTTTCCTCTTACTCCACAAATGCTTCTCCAGTTATTTTTTTTTATTTTTTATTTTTTTGGTTTGTGTCCTTTCTTTAACATTAGAGATTTGTTCTTCTGGCAAATTTTCATTAGCATATTTAACGATACTTTCCCCAGCTCATAGTTAAATATTTGTTCATATTTTCTTTGTAGATATTTGGTTTTTCCTAACATGTCTTTAAATACTATAAAATTAATTTTGTCAAATATGTAAAGTTTTTAATGGTTTGCCAAATTAATCCCATTTTCTGATTATTGCCAGTATATGGAAATTCAGTATTTTTTGAGTCTGTTTTAAAATTTTAGGGTTTTCTCAAATTCTTATTCTAATTTCAGATGCTGTTGCTTTTTAGCTAATGATGTATTTTTCTTTCTGGTGCTTATACCTCTTACTGTTCTTTATTTCTTTGGCTCTGAATTTAAGAATGCATTAGATGACAGTGTAGATATTTTGATTTTTCTCTTTATATTGAAATTAACATATTTTTTACTTATTTTTGTTTGTTTCTTAAGAGAATATCTCATTTGTAACACAAACTACCCTTTATATACTGATAGCCCAAGATAGCCTTGAACTCCTGATTCTCCTGCCTCCACGTTTTCATTCCTAGGGTTGCAAACACGCTCCAGCACACTTAGGTCTCCTAGCCCTTCGTTGCTTATTTTTGTTTCATGTTCAGAGAAGTAGGTTTCACTGAGGCAGCCTTTCGCCCATGTGTCAGGGCTCCTCCTTGTCACTCAGCACTGCTTCCCCAACCTCGCCCCTCTGACTCTCCACGCCCCCCTTCCTCCAATTGCTCCTCTGTTTCCACAGTGTGTATTTGGCCACCCTCTTGTCCCCTCACCCCGTTCCGCAAGACTTTACTCTTGTCTCTTGCGGTCCTCTTCTCTCAGGTTGTCTGCCTGTGTGTCAGTTTAAGACTGGATTCTGCATGTAGAAGACCACGTGTCTGTGTTTATCCTTTCATCTGCGGGTGAATGCCTAGGTTGTTATGATCAAGCGGCAGTCAATGCGGATGTGCAAGTCCCTCTGACTCGTGGACTTAAAGTCCTCTGGGCACGTGCCCAGGGGTAGGTGGCTGCCTGGCATGGTAGTTCTGTTTTTGTTTTTGGAGGGACCTTCACGTTAATTTCCATAGTGGCTATAATAGGGTTTATATTCCTACCAGCACTGACTGACTCTTTCCCCACATCCTACCCAGCATTTGCTACCATTTGATTTCTTAATGATATCTATCTGACTGGGGTGAGGCAGACTCCCAGAGCAGTTTGCATTACATTCTCCATGATGGCCAACGATAACATTTTGTTATTGTTTCTTTATTTATTGGCCCTTTTTTTGTAATCTGACTGTTCCATTCATACATATATTTATAATTGATCACATGAGTTGGTGTTTGGGGTTGTAATTTTTTGAATTCTTATAGAATCTAGATACTAGTTCCCTGTTGGATGTATAGTTGGCCAAAGTTTTCTCCCATTCAGTAGGTTGTATCATCACTACAGAATTTTTATTTCGTATAATTCGCTCTATCAATTCTCATTTCCTGTTCCTATAGCCTTTTCATCAAGTCCTTGCTTATGCCTGCTTCTGAACGTGTGTTTCTATGTTTTCCTCCAGCAGTCGCAGGGATAGCAAGTGTCGACTTTCACTCCTCTGCATTTATCCAGCCAGTTTTTTCTAGCCCCGCTTGTTTCCCCATCCCCGTTGGAAGACTGACCCTTAGGACAGACAGGATGAGCGGTGACTATGGCGAGCTTAATCTCCTTGTGGTCACATGAGGAGGGTGTACTAAGGGAATGAACAAGTCCTCGATGCAGGGCCCAAGCCTCACTTGCTCATCAGAGTCCTCTGGAGTTGTGACTCCCTTACCTTTGATGGCCACCTGAAAGTGTGCACTCCCTCAAGCACGACAGCCCCTAGGGCAGCATCTTCTCCAGTATCTCCTGATGCCGACCTGACATGCCCTTCCTCTGACCTGGAGGGATGCTACAAATCTTGTCACGCTGCTTCACTGGCAGTAGGTCGGCTTCCCAAGAAGGCAGGCAGAATAGTGAGTGTCATTCCATCCAGCTCCATTGGCCCCCAGCTGCTAGCACATTACAGTTCCTGTTGGGCCATCTGGTCTTGGAGCAAATACCCAAAGAGAAAGGCTGTTGACGTTTTGATGGGAAAAGTTGGGCAAGATATGCTTGTAGTGGGGTTCCAAGATATTCCTTGGCTACTAAAAGAAAGATGGACCCAAGAGAGTGTGGGTCGTGGGCAGGTGCAGATAGCCATGCTCTCGTGTGTAACATCAGTCCTCCTCTACATCCTGGGGCAGCCCATGTGCTAGAAGCTGATGCACAATCATCTCTCACCCTAAACTCATCACTTTCCCACGTGTGCATCTCCCCATGCCCTCTGTCCCGCCTGCCTAGGGCTCCAGGTGCCTGTGAATGTGTTTTGAACATCTGCTTTCTTACCAACAGCCTGTGTCCCACCTTCCTCTCTGAGACGCCCACCTCCCTCCTGAGACGCCCACCTCCCTCCTGAGACGCCCACCTCCCTCCTGAGACGCCCACCTCCCTCCTGAGACGCCCACCTCCCTCCTGAGACGCCCACCTCCCGCCCACCTCCCTCCTGAGATGCCCACCTCCCTCCTGAGATGCCCACCTCCCTCCTGAGATGCCCACCTCCCTCCTGAGATGCCCACCTCCCTCCTGAGATGCCCACCTCCCTCCTGAGATGCCCACCTCCCTCAGTCGTCATCTCCCTCTCTCTGTTTCCATGTTTTCACTGTACACACACACTTGTGTCTGATATGCCAAGGGATGCAAAAGAATACAGAGCATCATATACTTACAATTCTAAGTATAGTTGAACTGAGTTATTCCTTTTTATTTTCTTTTTCTTTCTTCCTTCCTTCCTTCCTTCCTTCCTTTCTTTTCTTTCCTTTCTTTCTAATGGAGCCAAAAACTTAAAACACTTTATACTGGAATTCTATATTGAATGGCTGAATTTATCCTTCGTTGAAGCATTTTTATTTCGTTCAGTTAATATTAAGAGCATTCATTTGAAAACACTATGTGGTAAATTGTTAGGTTTTTCATTTGGGGAATATTTGCAGTAATGACCCAATGGAGGGTCAGAGTGGGGGGAGGGGCGAAGAAGTAAACTTGTGACTGAAGTGGAAGGAAGGTTTTTGTCTTACATGTGAAAGCCTGAACCTGTGACATGTTCTCCTTAGACTGTCTCTTTGCCTCAGTTGTTCCGTTCTAACCGTCCTCTCGTTTCCTTTCCACTGTGCACACATGGCGGGCTCTGTGCACCACAGGATGAAGTTTTAACTGTGATCCGGAGAGTGGATGATAACTGGGCTGAAGGCATGCTGGGAGACAAGGTCGGGATTTTCCCACTCTTGTATGTGGAGGTAAGCTCACTAACACACTTGTTGTTTGGTTCCCCAGAATGCGGAGCCCTGGCCTGGGGGAGCCCCTTCCTGAGGTAGAGGGAGATTCCTCCCCTCCCCAAGCGTGTAATGCCTGCCGCTTCCTGGAGGCTTCTTCTAAACTGCCCCAGTGTATGAGGATTCTCTGACCAGTTTCAGAGGTTCCTCCCAGACCGGATGCTGTCTCCTCACTGCATAGACATGACTTAATCATTATGAGAAACACAGGGTCTCCTGGGCAGCCATTTCATCTGGGACCTGATACATGGTACAGCAACTGCAGGTTTGAGGGCAAGCATCTGGCTAGAATCCTGCCAGCTCACCAAGGAACTCATGTCTGGCCTCACTGTCCCATCTACGTGGATACATACAATCATACTGAGCCCTTGTTGGGCCGTAAATGAAAGATGGCGTATACCACAAGCTGCACTGTGGCTGGCTCTCACCTGGGCTTGCCAAACGATCACAATGAGACAAAGGTTGCAGATGTGGTCAGAGCCAGCCTGACCTTTGCTCCTGAACAGCCCTACTCTGAGAAGACTGACCCTTCCCCCCATAGCTCCTTCTGCTCCGTAGAACTGAATGCCTCGCTACTCTCTCCGTAATCCTCACACGTTAGCTGTCCCAGGCTCGCCTCTGTCCACAAAACGCTTGCCCAAGACTTTTCCTCATGGCCTTCCCAGCTTCTTTACTGCTGCCCCAGCACTATCCATGACCCCAAGTCCCAGCACCGCCACTTTATCTTTTCCCCCTAACAGTGGTCCTCAGTCTATGGGTCATACCCCTTTGGGGGATGGGAAGACCCTTTTACAGGGGTCACCCAAGACCATCAGAAAACAGATATTTACCTTATGATTCATAATAGTAGCAAAATTACAGTTATGAAGTAGCAATGAGAATAATTTTATGGTTGGGGGTCACCACAGAATGAGGAACTGTATTTAAGGGTCACAGCGTTAGGAAGGTTGAGGACTACTGCTGTACACCTTTCATTGGCCATCTCCACACTGAGACCAAGGGCATCTTCTCAGTTATTGCATGACAGCTGGGTAACGCGCATTTGCTCGTAGAAAGGAGAAGCCTGTGTTTCTCACCATCACAGGAATGATGGAGACCCAGGGATTGGTACAAGAATTAGGCCCAACATTCAAAAAGGCCTTCTTTCCAGGTCCCTATTCCAGGAAAGAGTAGAATAGTGTCATTATTTTGGTATTTTAACTTGTGCTTGTGTTGATAGAAGTAAAATGAGCAGCCTAAGAGTGTCCCTCCTCCCTCAACCAAGAGGTCAAGGATGAATTGAATGAGCCATAGGATTGCTTTTGAAGGACTCTATCCCGTCCCTGTAGCATGGTCACCCACCTGAAGATCTCCATCCAACACAGTCCCTTTTCACAAGGCTCCAAAAGATTGTGGTCATAGTCAGCCCTCAGCCCAGCTCTCAGCTAGCTAAGGCAACTTAGGGACATCGTAGGCTTCTGACATGGACCCCTCTGGGCACATCTCCCATTCTTCACCTCTGCCAGTGACCAGCCTTGTCACCTTTATGAGACACAGCAACTCATGTCTTCCAGAAGCTGGAGGTCTAGAACACCCAGGGTGCGTTTTTTTCACTGCTGTACTCTAGGTGGTGTGAGAGACTGAGGAGGAGAACAGTTCCAGGCAGTGGTAGCATCCTCATCCCAGAACGGATAGGAGCTTATGGGAGCAGGTTGGATTATGCCAGACCCAAGCCCTTGATCTGATGCAGCTATATCTGGGGCTTAAACAAAACTTGTATGGTGTGTGGGAAACTTTTGGTACTATTTATAGATTCTGAAAAGGAAATAATGGTAGCAAAACTAAAATCCTGATTAAGCTAAATAGATGTAATCAGTCCCAAAGTAAATGTTACTAATGGCAACTGTCTCCTGTGTGACGGTCCCTAGCATCAGCTCTAGAATGCATTGCCAGGCATTTGTTGAACCTCATTCAGCTGCCTGAATTGGTTTGGGTTCATCCTCTCATGAGCACAGTAGCTCATTACTTCATCGACTATAAAGAGGGGAAGTTATTTTGAACCCCTGTCTCTAAACATAGTGTTACCACGGAGAGAAAGCAGAGTTCTGCAGCTGTGATTCTGGGCATGGCCCGTGGTGCTGTGGCACCCTGCTGTTTGCTAGCTCCTGGTACTTGTCCTTTCTGTCTATCGTCTTGCTGATTTCCAGCCCCCTGACTGGGCAGGTGAATGTTTTCAGGGAGGAAGCTCAAGAGAGGTTTGTATGTGAGTCAAGTTTCTCTGAGGAGATGGTGACAATCATGTACTAAAGGACATGTTAAGGAAGTTGGCTCATGCGGTTATGGAGGCTGAGGAGTCAGACAACAAACCACCCACAAGCTGGAGCCCTGAGATGCATGTGGCTCAGTCCAAGTGCAAGGGTCTCAGCAGAGACACAGATGGAAGGTCTCTTGGCCTCAGGCAGGAGGCCTGAGAATTGGGAGACGGTTGTTCCAGTGAAAACTCAACCACGAGGAACAACTGCTGACTGTTTTTGAACAAGTCTTTTCTAGGAAATTCAGTATGTTCTTAGAAACTCATTGTAATATCACACATTGTCTGAAACCCTTTATCCTCACCCGCTACCTTCCCTGAGGGCTTCTGACTTCAGCCACAGCTGGGGATAAGTGAAGCTCCAAGTCACAGTTCCTGAGGTTTGAACCTCCTCAACCCCCAGGCAGACCCTGCCCACTGATGCTACCCCCAGGCCTTGTACCTAGACCGACTTTGCACACTGTAAGTTCCTCCAGGAAACTCAAGACTGGAGAGCCGAATGCTAACGCAGGATCTTCCTAACACTTCACAGGAGAGACACTGGTCCTGGGCAGATGACACATGTACTCAGCCTTAGCTAAAGAGAAGTTTGCGCCGGGCAGTGGTGGTGCACGCCTTTAATCCCAGCACTTGGGAGGCAGAGGCAGGTGGATCTCTGTGAGTTCGAGACCAGCCTGGTCTACAGAGCTAGTTCCAGGACAGGCTCTAAAGCTACAGAGAAACGCTGTCTCGAAAAAGAAAAAAGAGAGAGAGAGAGAGAGAGGTTTGCATGGACGTAGATAGAACAGTATTGCTAGTATCTGTTTGATGATCATTTTGGGCATTAGAAAAATGGATCAGGAAGATGGGTGTGAACATCCCCATTGGCAGGACACGGCATGGTTCAACGACAGTATGTTCCCTCAATCTGCAAGCCAGTGTGTAACTCTGTAGTTGCTGAGTGAAAGATTTTGTTCTAGATCTGGAAAAAGGAAAGAAAAGGCTTGTGCAAGTTTTCTTCAAGAGACCAGACACAGCGGAAGAGTATGTGGGCTGGGCTCAGCTGAGCAGACTGCCTTGGGAAACTCGCGTGCCTACCACGCATTTAACACTGCAAGCCGCTCCCGTCCTCTCACTTCCTAAGGTGTTTAGGGTCATCTCCAAGACTTTCCTCTGTTCTATCTGCAAACAAACTCCACCTGTCATAGGATCCCAGAACAGCCCTGGATGGCACGTATGTCCCCATGGGCCTGGTGAGGCGCACCTGCGTCACAGGAGAGAGCTCTGGCTGTTTCACTTTCTTACCAGGACAGGTCATTCACAGGGACAGGAATAAAAGCAATTAACGCTCAAGAAGGTGAAGATGGAGTTATTTTTACACTTGACTCGAGCCCCTCGGCTGGGTGCTAGCTGTCTGATGGCCTCTTCCTGCAGAGGGACTCTGGCTCAGAGTTATCCTCCTTAGGCTATGCTGAGCCACCTGCCTGCCTTAGCGCCTTCCGTGACAATAGACAAGGGGCCTTGGCTCAGCTCCCCTCAGCCTGGTACACTTGCTTGTCCATTCTTCATTTTGATCTTTCCTATAAAAGGGGTCCAGGCTGGTGACTCACAAACCAGCGAACCTCACAGTCTTCAAAGCTCTATGGTCTTAGCCTTAAAAAGCCCAGTGCAGTCAAAGGCATCTGGCTCGCGAAAGGCGTCTAGCTCCCACAAGTACCTAGGTTAGCTTGTCACCTCCCTTCCAAGCCCAGGGGTGTTTCCTCAGTCCTCATCCTTCTGAACTTTGCATAACAACAAACACACATGCGCGCTCACACCTTTCCTTCTTGAAGCCACGTTCCGTAGCCACATGACTTTCAACCCATCCCTCGTAACTCTGCGACATCCACCCCATTCTGGCTCATCTCTTTACTATTCGGAGTTCAGGTGTTCTTGGAGGCCTTCCTTGAATGCCATTCCCTGTCCTGTCCAGTCTACACACACTCCCCATCTAACCATAAAACAGCACAGGATAATGTTCTCCAGTTGAGAGGTCATGGGCTGGCCCCTCCCAGGCACCTCAGCTGGGTTAGATACCCACGCATAGCTGCCGTCAGAATCCTGATGAGGAGTCACTTCGTGGCTGGACTATAAACCCTACAATGACTAGGCTGCAACAGGCCCTTTCTACTTTGCTGTCGGCCCATGTTAATTTTCTCCCAGAATTACAGAGTAAGACTACCTCCCCAGGGAACTAGTCTTTACTTGGAGAAGGGCCCAGAGAGCATCCTCCCCATTTTAAAAAGCAAATTTCACTTTATGTTTAGGGTAAGCAACATCTTATAAGATGCTTATGCAGTTAAGTGGTTACTATGGTATAATAAGTGAGCCCAGCCATTAGCACACACAGCCGCTCATTTTCCCTTTGGCAAGGACAGCTGCAGTTTTCTCCTGCTACAGAAATCCTTAGTGTGATTCTACAGCTGTTATCAACCACCGTGCCCCCGTTACACCCCAGCTCTTTAACTTGTTCATGCCACCATCTACTCCTTCATGTCTTTTGACACATTGCCTCCTCCACACCTTGGTAGTCATTGCTTTATTCTCTATATATTTGACTCCTTTTCAGAGTCCATATTGTGAATAAGATCGTTTGCCTCTTTTCTTTGTACATCTGACTCATTTAACCGAGCATCATGTTCTCCCGGTCCATCCA